CTGTCCTTCGTTTTCCAAGCCATGAAGCTCCAAGGCTGTCCCTTTTTCCGTGCCGCCACAAAAACGTCAGCCAGCTTTGCAGCCTCAGCAGCAGAAGGCGGATTATGCTCTTTTATCCACACCTGCAACTCGGGAGATAGCATTCGTAAATATTGCTCAAGAATGATGATTTCCCCAATGTCCTGAATGGTTTTATCTTCAGGGTGGACCCATTTTACATAAAGCTCCTTCAGCCGTGCATACAACTCTTTAGGGCTTTCTGCAGGGTTTACATCAAGAGATCGAAATCTCTGCCTATAGGTCTCAGGATTGATATCATATTTATAAAGAATAGCTGCCTTAACCTTGTCATAATCCAAAAAATCATCAACATCCATATGTACATATGCACCTCTTGCTTTGCCCGTAAGCAGCGGTACAAGGTGAAAAACCCAATCATGTCTCTGCCACCGACAGGCCATTGCAATGCGTTCGAAGGTAATCAAAAAATGTTCAATATCATCCTCGTTGGTGAGTTTTTGCAACTTAGGCTCCAGAAAATGGGACTGACCTGATGAACCAGTAACTGATATACTGGGACCAGCTTGGGGAAGAATGTCATCATCTAGAGATGCTGGATCAGGTGATTCAGCTGCCTGACCTTCAGGCACTGGAGAAGTGCGGGCTTGTACTTCTACCTGTAACAACTGAAACTGGTGTTGAAGTGCTTTAAAACGTTGTTCTTGCTTTGCACTCTCCTCCTTCTGTTTAGCCTCTCTGGCCTCCTGCTGGCCCATATGTGAACGGAGAAGAGAGATCAGATCCGATATCGTTGGCTCCCTACCTTGGCCCTCAGTGCTGTCTACCCCTCCAGAAGCTCCATTCTCCTCCTGTTCTCCATCGACTTGTCCTTCTGAGCCCATTTGCTGGCTTGGTACATCTCCTCGGACTACTCTCGCACTCCTTGCTCCCCTCTCTGCATGGTTCGATAAGGAGTGGAAAAAAAAAAAGTGCCTTTTTTTGTGTGTGTGTATTTTTTTTAAACTGGCTGTATCCCACTGCTGCCACCAATTGTCATGAACCAAGCAGCCAGGAACACACAGGCACGAATGTAAACTTCAAAAAATGGGTTTTATTATACCCCCCAAAAGGACAAGATGATTACAAAAATTCAAAATAACAAAAAATAAAGTCTTTAAGAACCAAGTGGGCCCATAAAAGAGGTTAACTTAACAGACCACTACTCAAAAATCACTTAACAAAAACATAACTCAACAAACTGACCTGCCCAAATGAGAAACAGCTCCAGTTATATAGCAAATGAATAAACCATTATATACACCAAAGGTGAAAACTAAAGAGATAACAGATAACCATCATTCAAGAAGAACCCCATTCCCCCTGCATGATCACAATAGATGGTCCATTCCACTTTATTGGCTTCTGCATTTAAACCAGCTCCACCCTCAGCCTCCTCTTTCAGCCAAACCAGGAAGGACTGGAGCGGAGGTCAGGTAACTAAGTATCTCAGTTGTGTGGTTGCATGCATCCATCACATATGGAAAAGCATTTTTAAGATAAACTGTAGTCTGAAGTATAGCCACAGCCAAAAGAAACCAGGTAAGACCACCACAACCAGAAACCAAGGTTACATACTTATAGTTAGTGATGGGCAGATGAAGCCCCATGAAGCACTGAAGCTTTTCATCCAATTGGTTCACCCCAACGCGAAGCTTCATGAAGCTTCATTTGCTCTAGCAGGACACCTACTGGACGTAAAAATAATAGCTGGCATGAATTTGAAGAGTGTGGCATTTTGCACACAGCCTGTAAATGTCAACAACAAAAGGAGTGTGTAAAACACCTATAGTGTAGTGATGGCAGTATACTGTGTATATTTATGCTGGCAGTATGGAAAATGATTATTTGCGGCAAAGTTCGAACCGCTTCATGAACCAGTCACGTGGTACAGCCGGGCAGCGAGGCTTCGGACGTCATCATTTTCAGCTCCTCCCATAAATGAAGCAAGCCTCGATACGCGCTTCGCGGAAACGCCCCCTCCATTACTCGACACACGCTCCGAAGCCTCGATACAGAACGTCACATCACTACTTATAGTTGACCATGTTTCAACCACTTATAGTTGAAACATCAAACATGTTCAAAAGGCATGGATTTATAGCTGACCATGAAGTGAAACCCATCATCAGTTGGACTGTTCTATAACAGCCCTCTGAAAGTGGTACATCCCATCTGTCCACCACTGAAAATACTGGGAACGTCTAGTGAAATTAGGTTGACCCAGAAATTCAGCAATAAAGCCATTTATTTAAATTTGGGAAGTTAGGATTTATTTTTGAGTGGAGAAAATGAGAAAACCACTGCTCAGCAAAAACAACACAAAGGCTCATCTCACATCTGGATGATCCTCCTCAGAAACTCTTCTGTGGATTGAAGAGACAAAAGCTGAACTTTATGGAAGGTTTGAGTCCCGCTACATCAGACATCAGAATAACAGGATTTCATAAAAAAACACCTCACAGCAGCAGTCAGACGTGGTGTGATGGTCTGGGCTGCTGCACTGCCTCAGGATGAATTCTGCTCTCAGAAATCCTGAAGGAGGATGTCCAAACATCAGTTTATGTCCTCAAGAGCACTGAGGTTACGCAGAGAGACCAGCAAGTCCAACTCTGAATGGCTCAACCAAAATGAAGGTTTTGGAGGGATGATCTGATTTCCTCGTGTTGGTGTTGTTCCCAGACCATCATGAAAATGTTGTTCCAGGTTCAACATTGCAAGTGACCAATCACATTGTTGTGACGTTATTCCTTTGCGCGCCAAGCCATTCGTGCATTTATGAAATTCCAATGTTGCAAGGACAATATCAATTCTTAAAGGGTTACGGTTAGGGTCAGGGTCCGTTGATCGGCGGGCAGAGGCGGTTTCAAGCAGCTTAAGTACAGTTTTTTGTTTTACGGCGGTTTTTCCCGAAGTCGCAAAAGTATGACGTCACAACATTCTGATTGGTCACTGCAATGTTGATCCTGGAACAACATTTAGTATGATGATCTGGGAACGACACCAACACAAGGAAATTAGATCAACCGTTTTGGAGTGTCTGAGTCAAAGTCTGAATCAGATTGAATCAGATCAAGTTTATTTGGGATGAACTTGAAAAACCTCTAATGTGTCTGAATTCAAACAATTCTGCCAAATAAACACGACCAAAAACTCCTCCACAGTGATGTGAAAGACTCATTTCCAGTTCCTGCATATCTTCATTTGTGGAAATGTCATGGAGCTACATGTTAGTTTCCTGGTTTTACCTTTAGGTGGCGCTGTTTGTATTTGTTCCTGTGAAAGCTGTAACAGTGACAGACTTGGTTAAATGAAGGTTTATTTGTCTTCATGAACACATGATCAGATTATGGAGCTCATATGGAGTCATGACACAAACATGGTTTTACCTGCTTTTAGTGACAGGCTTTGTAATTCAAGCTGAGGATACAATGGAGCGATGCAAAGATTTACAGCACATGAAGCAGAAACATTAAAATCTTCACCTTATCTGAACTAAATACAACAAACATCCTGCTACAGTTTAATAATGAACCAATCCAGCAACAATGAAGGAAGAAACCAAGATGCTCCTGACTCTGGTAAAGGAGAGGACATGAAACACAGACTGCTCTCTGCAAATGTCTAAGCTGCAGGTAATAATCTGTTGGTCATTTTCAAACCCAGAGACTGTAAACACTGAGCAGAAACACAGAGTTCACCCCAGAAAACCTACATGTGCAGCTAAGAAGTGACTTTAGGTTTAAACTTTAGTGTTTTATACAAATAAAATTAAATGTCTCAGTTTTCCTCTGACTGACCCACTCGTGCTGCCCTCCTGTGGTCATGGCTGCAGACATGCCACAGGCTTCAGTCCTTCCCCCTGAAGCCCACCTCTCATAGCACACTACATAATCAGTGACCCAAAGCCACAAACGTGCAGCACAGCCGTACTGCAGTCCCAGCCACACGAAAGGAGTCGAGGCGTTTTTGGCTCTTTCCTGGACCCATCGCTGCTGATGAGGGTTCCTGATTGAAACCAGGTCATGATGTGTCTGTCTGCAGTAATTCAAGGCTTTCTCCCAGGTTTTGTTTTCCCTGATCAGAATCAATTTATCTGCCATAAAATCAGAGAAAACATGAAATCAGTTGAATCTGGACTTCAAGTCTCTGGATGTTTGGTCCAGTTTCACTGGAAGAACAAAAGAAAACATTTCAGTGATTCTTCAGACGAATCAGCAGCTCTACAGAGAAATCTCTGTTCCAACCATCAGCTAAACATCTTCACCTGCAGAAATAAGTGGCTGAAGAAACACACTGACCTAAATCCTCTCAGTGACTCCAGCAGTTCATCTATTGGAGAAACAGCTGAGATAAATCTGTGTAAACTCACCATCATAGCAGAAGAAAGGCTTTCTTTGGTCACATCCAGCAGAGCTCCATCTTCCTGATCTCTCTAACAGAGTCGTAGCACATTTCCTGTTGTTTAGTCCATCATTAAATGAGTCCATGTCCCAGTATCTGAAAGAGAAGTTACTCCCATCTGACCACCTCCAGCTGTCTCTGAACAGGCCGATCCACAAGGCTTTAGAGTTCTTCAGCTTCTTAAACTCTTCACTGTATATCTGATCGAGTCCACTGGCCAGGTCGGTGTGATGCTGTCTGCAGTAGCTCTGAGCCTGAGTCCAGGTCACAGACGTCTCAGTCAAATGAAAGGTTTTGTTGTCTTTCATTGTTGCTGTCGAGTCAACAGAAAAACACAAAAACATCTTTATCAACTAATTTCTCTCATTCTTCAAACTGTCTCTTTCAAGACCATATGATATAACTCGGATTATAAACTACATTATAACATTATTAAATATTGTATTATCATATTACTGTCCACATATTCTCACCGTCATAGCAGATGAACTGAAATGTGTCACTACATGGATAATCTGCCCACTTGTCTACTGTCATCACACAGTTCTCAGGGTATGCTCCATCATTTGGCTCTGTATCTCCCCAACAGGTCTTATTTTCAGTGTATTCCTCCCCCGGCAGAGACCAGTGCTACGTCCTGTTGTCTCTTCCTGGCTCGCTGTACAGTCCAATCCAGGCTTCTGTTTGATTCTGTGCAGAGTCTTGAAGTCTTCTCATGTCTGTCAGGTCAAACACTTTGGCCAGGTCTGTGTAGTTCTCTCTGCAGTATGCCCATGCTTCATCCCAGCTCATCTCTTCTTTAATAAAGTGGTACTCATACAGCTGACATGTGATGAAGACACACTGACCTGAAACAGAAGGAATACTGTTGAATATCTGCTGATACAAGCAGGAAACTCATGTTCCCATCAAACTGTCCAGTTTACAGGTCAATCCTTGATTTTCTCAGTAAGAGTTCATTTGTTTAATGAGTCCTGATCAAACTAAAGGATTTCAGGTGGAAACAATCAGGAGTCCTGGTAAAATGATCACTCACCCATCAGAAGAAGCAGAAACAGACTCCACTGCATCGTCGCTCTGTCACATGAAAATGACTTTTCTGTCATTTGGAGGAAACAAACTAACACACTCTCTCTTTGTACTCAGTATTTCAATATGAACAAACTGTTTTTAGCCCTGACTCAAAGACACACTGTTAATATGAGTTATATACAGACTCATTTACATATTTCTATGGAAAGAAGAAACACTGAACTGTCCAACAAGCAGAAAGAGGAAGTTTCTAATATCCAAATATGACAGCAGAGGTACATATGGACAGGTCTCCACTCTGTGACAGTGTCAAAGAATATACTCTAAAACACTTCTTCAGTAAAGACTCAGAGAAGAGAAACACACAGAACTTCTTGCTAGCAAGGGCAGCCTCCAGAACTGAGACTCGCCCCGAGAAACTGCCCCGGTCTTTATTTATACTTCAGTGTGTGTGTGTGTGTGTGTGTGTGTGTGTGTGTGTGTGTGTGTGTGTGTGTGTGTGTGTGTGTGTGTGTGTGTGTGTGTGGCCACATAAACGACTTCTTTTAACCTGCTGGTCTGGAAAATCCAACAGTTCATCTATATGTAAAAAAGCACTTAAACTAAAACTGACATAGCTACGTTAATCCTACCGTAAAACAATAAGACAAGGTACAACCTCTCTCATGCTCCTAGGATGTGGGGGTGAAGCCAGAACACCCTGGAGTGTTACAGACCTCCTAGGATGAGACATTCCTTCACTATACCACCAACTACATACTTCCGCACGGTCGGCCACGAGAACTGCTTCCTCGCCGCCGCCGTTGCCGTCTGCACGGTTGGCCTCCAGAACTGCTTTCTCACCGCCGCCATTGCCTTCCTCCTTCCTCATTGGCCGGCCCTCAGAACTGCTTTCTCGGCGCCGCCGTTGCCTTCCTCATGGCCGGCCCCCTGAACTGTCTCACCCTGGCCTTCGGTGCTCTCGGCCCCCAGGCCGAAACATAGACCTGAACTATGTTTCTGACTCTGCTCCTCTGTGCGCGTTTTGGACATTTGGTTTGCCTTCCTGGGGGGCTCTTGTTTTGCTCTGTTCCGGGCCCTCCTTCCTGGGCCCCCCGCTGCCCACCCGGATCTGGTGGTGTGTTTTGGGGCTGTCGGGAGCCAGCCCTTGGGGGGGGGGGGGTACTGTCATGGTCCTGGGTCGGTGACCCAGCGCTTTGAGTTTATGATTATTATTTTCTAGTTTATTCTGATTTTGTATTAGTTCTTGGGGTTTGGTTGTCATGTTTATTTTCGTCTGGTCCAGCCTCTGCTTTAGCTTCTGCCTTGTCTGGTCCAGCCTCCGCCTCGCCTGGTGCTGCAGGGATCATGCCACCTTCAGGTTCCAAACTGCCGCCTCAACATCATCGGTCACTTGTCAGGCCGCTTGTTGGGCATCATCACCAGCGTGGCCGGCCTCCGGACTTCTGTTGCCACCCCCGCCTTCCGTGTGGACGACCTCCTAAACGCTGCCACTGCCTTCCGTGTGGCCGGCCTCGGGACTTGCATTCCCGCCGCCGTTGCTGTCCGCACGGTCGGCCCCCTTTGGCCTTGCCCCTTTTCTACAATTCCCCTGTGGGAGAGGTTGGTGTCATTTCTTTCCAGACACTGTAAAACACAAATATAATGTATATTTAGTCACCCTGATATTTCTGAATGTGTGTCTTTAGTTCAGTTATTGTCATCATTGTGCCAGTTTTTATTAGATGCTATAAATGTGTAGTATGTGTGTGCCACAAATGTGTTTTAGGTGCCATTAACGCTAGCATGAATATATAATTCTGGCTAGCTTGGGAGTTGTGGTGGGTTGAGCTAACCCTCTCCCCCACTGTTTGTGTAGAGCAAGCAAGTTATTTACTTGGATGTCTTTCATACTTTTACTTTTACTCTTTGTCAGACACAACGCAGAAACACACTGGGTCCATTTTCATAACAAGTGACAGCTCAGACATCTGTTAATGAGAGAACATGTTTTTTATCATAAAGACGGTGATGTGAAGCATCAGCAGGATGTTAAAGTGTTCAACAGTCTGGACCCTGAGACATAATAAAAACAGACTTGCCAAAGTAAAAGCAGAGGCCTCTGTGTGCTCATTTAACAGCTGCTAGTACAAAAAAAAGTGACAACGTGTGTATTAGATACCCTCAGTCCAAAAGCAGAAAACATAAAGAATAGAATCCACAACAATGTCATCCTAAATAAATGGCATCCTGGGGGTTGTTACAAGGAAATATGTAACCCAGTTCCTGAAATCATCTCAAACAAAAAAAGAGAGGAAAAATTAAAACATTTAATGTTCATTGTTCTGTTCTTACTGTCCCTGTTAATGAAAGATCAAAATATTTATTTAAATATAGAAGGGACGCAGATTATATATGATATGCTTTGGTCAAACAAGGGTTAAGTTTTCTCAGAGGGTTGATGAGCTCTGATGAGAACCTATTGTTTTACTCCACTCCTCGCATGTCAGCCAATCGGTGAAGCTCTAGGCAGCTCTTGTCCCTCCTTAGTACCAGCTCCCAAGTTTTCAGTCTCTTGCTCCTACAGCCAAACAGAGCAGACGGACTAAAACTTTGTTATCAGTAAGCTGGAGAAATGAACCTTTAATGAGTTAAAAAAATACCATCTAAACTGATATTTTTCACAAATTATGTATTTGCACTTGTTGTTGTCAAGGGCAGAGCGAAACCGGAAGGTTTACAGAGCTGTGGCTCCACATAAACGCTGAGCATCCACTCGACGGCGGTAAGCTAAATGTGGCTAATCAGACACGTGATGGGCGGAGTGTGGGTACAGTTATTGGATGTCTCTGAAACGCACTGTTGTTATGCTAGTTAGATCATTAACTAAGTCATTAACATGTGAAAAGCTGTAAATGGTTAAAGCAGCTAAAAATAACTTTATGAGAGATAATTGTAAGCAGACTTTATCCTGCTTCCTGTTTAAATTTTGATGTCAATCAGTTGTTTTACAATACTCAGTATTGAATACTTGGAGGTAATTTTTAGTGTATTTCCACTTGTACTAGTAGGCCTATGGTACAAGCGGGATTTAGCACGTCTATTTTAATACTCCTATTTGTGGACTGAGTCCTTGTGTTTACGTGTTATTGAAATTGATTATTTGCACTTTGTTCAATTTCTGATAAGCATTTGCATATTAATCCATTTCTTAAAAGGGGTAATATACTTATTTATTTGTGATTAGATATATATGTACAGTGAGTTATTTTGATGGATGTAATCAATGTTTACAATGAAAGTGAATTATATGGTGGCTATAATTCCTGAATGTTTAAAACCTTGTAGATAATCTTTAATGTTACTGCAGGTTACAAATAAGTATTGAACCTTGATACTGTGAAATTTTGGATATTGATACTTTGACCTTTGAAACTTGATATTTTAATGTTGTACAACGTGACTGAACTGATGATGATTGAATTGATGATAACTTATCTGAATAGTAGTTACTGCACTGTGACACTACTTTAGTTTAATTTGTGAGAGTTATCCTTAAAGGGTACGTGACATATATTTGGCCATTGTTTATAGGTCAGGTTTTTATATGGGACGAATCCAAAGACCAGGTCAGCGATTCCAGGACCCAGAGTGTTCAGTGTTCACTGGATGGCGAGCCAACTCAAGATCCTAGGAGACGATATACATATACATGCACACTCACGCGCACATTGATGGACTAAAATCCTCTACTGTACAAGTAGTACGGTAGGACAGACAATCACACACACTCCTTGTCGGACGAATTCTATTGGAATACACCTGTTTGTCATGGGCCCCACCGGTACCACTTGGACTTAAAAAAGACTAATTCTTTTACTTGTGCACAATTTTATTTTATTCAATTTTTTTGCTACTTTGGGGGAAATTTTTATACTTGACATTCTGTTAAAACCTGTTGAAATACTGTGTTGTTTACAAATTTATTTTACAAGGCTTAACATCACTGAAGCACTTTTAAAGCCACACAACTGTGTTTGTCTGGTTTCTCTGCCATTCGTGTACCAGAGCTCTAAGAGTCGTTCTCAGTCTTCTGATATTACTTATTACCTTGGTAATTATCCATTGGTGCTTTAAGTAACTCCACGTAAGTGCTATAAATACAAAAAGAAAAAGTTGCAAAACCTATATCAGAAAGTGTCGAATTTAGAAAAACAAAGGAGTACAGGGCTCAAGAGTGAGTATTCTTTGAGTATGGATGTTGCTGTTTTGAAAAGAGTCATGAAGAATCTGCTGTCCAGTATACGTAGAGCCCAAGCAACTGCACATGTATGAAAAGAAGTTCTTTGCATGGACTTTGAATACATCAATACCATAACGCTCATATTTTGCGAAAGAACAGCACACAGTGGCAGGTTATGCAACCACTCAAAATACAGACAGTTGAGGCAAAACGATATAATATATTATATAATCAATCTTTCATTATGTCCCTAAACTTGAAAGAAGCAATCCTTTTAAAAGATTTATCTGATTAATTCCTTCCTTTTTCAGTGAATTAACAAAAGGACATGCTGACAATATCTACTGTCCCTTTCTAAGTGTGGGATAAATGTTCAAAAAGGTTCGACTATGTGTCTTTGTAAAAGGGTAGGCTAATAAACTGGATTTATCTAATTTATCTCTTTGAGATTATGATTAATAACCAATAAAGTGGGCTTCAAAGAGTACAAGTAGCTCTGGGCTACCAATAAGCAAGCACACATATGTTTGACAGGTTTTAGATCCAAAAGCTTTCAAGCATTTGAGTCTCTACTTTCAGGTTTTTAAATGTTCTTGCTTTCATACTTTTGCTTATTAATTAATTCAGTTATTAGGTTAATAAAGTATCAACAGTGGACATGGTATCTTTTCTTAACTTGGCTTCTATTATATCTGTAACATGTCCCGATTCGTGATTGAGGTGAGAGACAAACGACCGCAGGTCCAAGTGCGTCAAAACAATGATTTTATTAAACACGTGTGGAGGAAATACACCATCACAATCCTCAGCATAAAACCCCCTTATTAAGCACACGTGTGGGGAGATGAACA